AGCACTCTGGCTGCACTTCTTCCAAAACAGATCTATTGGTTCTTTTGGCAGTCCATGGCACTTTCAGTATTCTCCTCCAACACCACAACTCAAAGGTATCAATTCTTCCACGATCTTCCTTATTCACTGTCCAGCTTGCACATCCATATGAGGTTATTACTTTATCTAGGGCTTAATATGTATCTTTAATTTTCTTCAATCTACCTTCAAATATTATTGTACTAATTCACATATGGAGTTCTGGTGTGGTGCTGTAAGAAAAGCACTGGAACGCAAGGTCAGCTTGAACAGCAAGTTCAGTGGTTCAAACCCACCAACCCCTTCTTGAAAATGCTATAAAAAAGCATCACTATGAGTTGTAACCAACTCGACAGCACTTAACAACTTCACATTGAGTTTCCCTTTCATTTTATGCTAATGAAATCACTTCTGTGTTGGCTTAAACAATGAATTAGTAATCTTATTATTGTTTATTCAATATTAGTTACTATCTTTAAAAGATATTATATTAGGAAAATGTCTGTTTACCTACATAGAGTCCTGGTGTGGTGCTGTAGGATAAGCACTGGACTGCAAGGTCAGTTCAAACTTCACAACATTTACCTACATATTTACCACAGACTTCACTCTACTCCTTTTTGCAGACCTGAGATTTCATCTGGTATCATTTTTCTTTTGCCTGAAAAAGTTCCTTTTAACATTTCTTAGCAAATCTCTGCTAGTGATGCATTTTCAGTCCCTTTCCTTTTTCTTTCAGGGTGCGGGGAAGGTGGTCTATAAGACTTTAATTTTGGAAAAATATTTTTGCTAAGAAGATTTTAGGCTGACATTCTGTTCTTTCATTACTTTAAAGGTACTGTCAATGTCTTCTGGATTGCGTAGTATTTAATGAGAACTGTGTAGTCATTCTTATATAGTTCCTCAATATATGATGTGTCTTTTCCTCTGGCTTCTCTTTAACTGTTTGTTTTTGTTTGCAATTTCATTAAGACATGCTTAAATTTCTTGGATCTAAATTTTTTTAATAGATAGCTTCTCAAATGGCACCCTATGACCCCAGCCTTGTGGTATACTCACGCCCGTGTGGTACTGTGGGTTAATGCACTGGACTGCAAGGTCAGTTTGAACCTCATGGTCGGCGGTTCAAGCTCATCAGCTGCTCCTTGGAAATCCTATACAGGGTCACTATAGGTCGGAACGGACTCAACGCACTTTTAACAACAACAAACCCTAAGAATGCGGGCTGAACTTAGTGACTTGTTTTAAAAGGGCAGAATATGACAAAACTGGTGCAATGTCACTTCCAAGATTAGGTGGCAAAACCACTGTGACTTCTGTCTTGCTTACAGTTTCTCTCTGGCTCTTCTTGCTTGCCCACTCTGCTGAAGGAAGCTGCCATGATATGAACTGCATGCTGGAGAGTCCCACATGGTAGGGCAAACTCCAGACAACAGCCAATGAGGAAACTGGGGCAGGCACTCAGTCCAACATCCCATGAGGAACTAACACCGAGCAACAGCCATGAGCGTGGCCCAGCAGCAAACCTTCCTCCAGTCAAGTCATACCCCAGCTGGTACCCTGACTGCAGGCAGGTGGAAGTCTATGAGTCAGAAAAGCTCAGACGTTTAAAAATTTTGGAATGCTTTGTACCAGGTACCTACTACAGTTTTCACTGAATTTAGAAACACTTTGACCTCCCCCCCCCCTTTTTACCTGTCCTGGGGACTCTGCCATAGCCTCAAGTTGTTGTTTTGTTTGTTTTTTTTTTTAATCTTCTGCAGTGTCACTTCAGATATTATACTTTTCATCTACAGATATTCCATCATATGGGTTTCTTTTTCTTTTTTATCCCCTTTAAAATATATTCCATCATATGGGTTTCTTTTTCTTTTTTATCCCCTTTAAAATATATTCCATCATATGGGTTTCTTTTTCTTTTTTATCCCCTTTAAAATGTATTTCTCCTCTCTCATACTGTTTTCCTTTACCATCTTGAACACATTGTTGTTAACAGCAATCAAGCTGGTTACAGCTTGCAAGTTGGGAATGTGGCATGTTCTCATTGGGAGGTTTTGCCCCATCTCTGCAGATCTGTCTCTGAAACTTACCCTTTTCTAAGTAAGATCTTGGAGCCCATGGAGGGTCCTCTTCAGCATAAGGATCACTGTACTCAACCACAGCTGCTTCCTCTTCTTCATAATCTTCTGGAGGAGGAGGTGGAGGAGGGGATTCATCAAAGACTGGTTCTTCCACAGGTGGTGGTGGAGGTGGTGTATCTGAAACTAAGAATGTATCAAGCTCACAACAAAACTACACATTACACCAAGTTCCATGGACTGTTAAGTCCTGACTTGAAAATAATAATGTCACAAAAAAAAAATGGACAAGAAGTTACCCCACCAAGTACAACGTTCCAGTTCTCCACCTATGACTTTTCTCTCTCTTGGGTAGTAATGATACCAAGGAAAGTTTATCCAAAGTTATTATTATTAACCAAGGATCTCAAATTTGCTTGTGCTAAAACACAACCTTTTTTTTTTTTTTTTCCAAAGAATCATATCAATGCAATATAGCTTAGCTTTACACCTACACCTGAGGAAGAGTGGTCATAAAAATGTTAATATTTTAGACATTTATAACCATATTTGATTTATAGAATATGAATTCAGTGAACAGTCAAATTTAAATGTCTGCTACTTTCCTCTCTCAATTATTTTTAAACCATTTTGCCAAAAAAGGGTGCAAACTTTAGGTAGTTTCATCTAGGAAGAAGTTTGGTTTTTGGTTTTTGGTTTTTTTAATATAGAATTTCAGTTAATTCAGACTAATTTATGATCCAGAGTTTCTTCAGGCTAAATGTCTAGGTAGTATCAGCTTTTCCAACTCACAGTGACACTGCATAGAGTTTCCAAGGAGCAACTGATTGATTTCAGCCACATACCTTGCAGTTAGCAATTGAGAGCTTATCCTACAGTGCCACAAATTCAGACTACTAAAGGCTTTTCAACACTTCGTACATACATACTTGAGCACATCTCAACAGAATAAACTGAGTAGATTTGTATTTATCAAGTTCCCAGTTTTACTGAACACCACTAATTCTTCCCTATGAGGCACCAGTAATGATTTAATAATTCTCTAGGAAATCCTGCTTATTATTGATAAGTTTGAGATTTTAGAAGACTACTGATACCTGGTGAAAACTATGCATCTCAACATCAGTATTCTTTCCATCTGTTGTACTACTCTACACTTACTAACTCATCAACTTTATGAATGTTAATACTTTATCCACTAAAAATATTCTCTGTTCATAACGATTTTAATGAACAAAAGGTATATATATGTGACTGTGCTATATGTACTTTATAAAAAAATTATATGCTTGGTGAGAAGTAATACATTCCATTGTATCTATAAGGTAAAGAAACTGACTTTAAATAGTTTCACAAAAATATAGATCCAAAGGAACTTTGTCTTTGAAAACGATCACCTTGAGAAACTGAACTACAAAATTATTTAAAATGCTGCCATTGCTCATTTTCACCTTTTCTTAAATAACTGCTTCAGAGCCGGTTGAATACCATCAACATAGATATCATTTTTTGAGGACTTAGAATGTTCTGATGTACTGATTTTGCATTACTGTAATAATACATTAGAAAACATTACTTCATTTAATCTTTACAGACTTGGAAGGTGATGTTTTTAGTACTCATTTTATAGATGTGGAAACTGGCCTTCCAAGATTTAAGTAATTTATCTAAGGTCCTATGACAAGTAAGTGGGAAAGCAGGAATTTAAATTAAAATGTCTGTGTGTTTAATAGCTACACTATGAAATGAGTTAAATCTAACAACTTTAAAGTCATATTTTATTTTATTAATTCAACTGAGAGTCTACAATGGATAAGTACTATTCTCAGCACTAAGAATAGAGCAGTTGGCAACTCATGGAAATATGGACAGCGTGGTGTAGTCCTGTAGGATCAGCACTGGACTGCTAACCAATTGCTTCTTGGAAATCCTCCTACACAGGGTCATTATGGTTGGAACTGGCTCAACAGCACTTAACAACAAACATTCATTTAGTAAGTGTTTAAGATATTATGGGAGCACCTATCAGGGGACCAAACATCTTGCATGGTTAATAGAAGGCTTCCAGAGACCTAAAATTAGATTTAATGAGTAAGAGTTAATGGCCAGCAGGTCAAAGAAGGGTGGCTATTTCATGTTCTATGTAAAGAAAAGAAGTGTAAGGATTCTTATCTACAGGAACTCTTGCAGTTGTGGATGGAATGAAGAACTGGTGGTATAAAGAGGCATGAGAAGGCTGGAGAAAATCAGGGCTTGTAATATTCAGGACTCTTATCTAAAGAGGAATAGGGAGCCTCAGAATGATTTGAAGGAGCACCCAGTATAAATGGGTCACTTTGCTTTTGCTGGGTGCCATCAAGCTGATTCTGACTAATAGCAAATGGTTCCAAATAATTCCATATTTATTCCTAAAATCTAATTTAATGCAGAGTGAATATTCTGTTACCACAGAGCAGCTTCAAAATAAATCACTCGAAAAACCCTGAAGATAATTTCAAAGACCGTCTATACCCTTCCAAGGTGAATGTTTTAAAGATTCATTTGAATGTATACATTCTGCTGTTTATAAAATCATTCATAGCATATTTCACACACAAACTTTATACATATTGTAGGTGAGAATGTATATGATCATGGAAAGAGATGAGAAAGAACTATATCAAAAGGCAATCATATCATGCATGATAGGCTGGCAGACTTGGGGTTTCCTTTAAAAATACAGACAGTGCTGCCAAAATACCTTACAGTCAACTCCTTAAGACATTCCTAAATCTTTTAAACTTGCAATCATACATTTCAGTAATACTAAATTAAAGCAATACTTTTTGAGGTCTTTTGAGGAAACATTTTGATGTTTCTACAAACTTTTACAACTTTCACTAAAGACATCCTGCTTCCTAATCTTAGGCAACTTTAAATCTAATTTCTTGTAGAATAATATTTTTGCTACTATACAAACACACCTGGTTGATGTCCATTTTTAAGATCTGGCCTTTACTCTAGAAGCTGCTTAGCACCCACTTAGTTTAATTAAAGTGAGTGACATCATGTAGTAATAACTGACTACTAAAATTTGCCAAGATGAGTGCTCATCATGGTAGCAAAAAAAAAAAAACTCTCAGGATATTATCCAAGTATGTTCATTAATCATTACAATTAACTTAGATGTATGATGAGAGAAACTGTCTCTTATTGTGATGACGCTTGGACATTTCACCGTAACACAATACTTTATAGGGAAGTGCAGAATAGAGCAAGCATTGTTGAATTCCTTCTAGTTGGTCCACTTCACCCTGTTTTGATGAAGTGACCTTATATCCTACTTTGGACCTCACAAGCTTGGCAATGAGTCAGACTGTGGTTGTACTGGGCACACGCTGACCCAGATGGAGCTTGCTGAGCGGCCATCTTCTCCCTAGGCTCATGGGTCAACCAAAGCCAAAGAACCATGGGTCTCGATGATGCTACTGAGCAAAATCTACAGAATTATATAGGAAAACAGCTCTTAAAGGTAACAAAAATATTGTAAGTGCTCAATGGGGGACTTCCGAATAAACAGAAATAAGTAAATTCTTCCCAGAAATCACAAATACAGATGTAAAGACACCTGAAAGAGAAACCAAGGCCCCAAGACCAATAAGGCTGGATTATAACCAGTTAACATAGGAACACATATAAAGAATGTGTTGCTCAAAAAGGAGCAATACTAAAAGTATCCCAGTTGAGCAGGCACTGTACAGAAATCAACAGCCATATTGGTCTAGAAACATTAAACTTGTTTTTGTTTCCATTTGCACAAGAGTAATGCACTGTATTAAATATGTAAAGTCTTGTTTACATAGGTTTAATAACTCAAAAAAGGAAGAACTAAAGGTATCTACACTCTACATCACATGTGCTAAGTGCTAGGGTAGGGGTGGGGAACCTTTTTTTCTGCCAAAATTTGTAACATCATTCCCGGACCATACAAAGCTATCAACTTAAAAATTATCCTGCTGTATTTGGTCAAACATTAACTAACTCACCCCTAATGTGAAACTGGAACTGTGGCTGCCTTGGCAGGGCCAGACCAAATGATTTCAACTGGACTTATACAGTCTGTGGGCCGGATGTTCCCCACCCCTGTACTAGGGAAACTTATTCAGCCACTGAACAAAACAGGCAAAATTCTCTGCTCTCAAGAACTGACAGTCTAGTATTGTCATGCCCATTTCCAAAGGTGCAGGAGTCCTAGGCAACAGATTGCAAATGTCTATACCATTGGTGAAACCACATGAGATATATACAGTGAACATAAGGATACTGGGCTACTGCAATCTGATGACATTAAATCCTTAATTAATGATTTCCTTTAGTCTGATCCCATGATCATCGTGCAGCTTTATGATTATGTGGTCCCTTGTGTAAGCTGCTCACAAGAACACAATTCCTTATTGAACAGTCTAAGTTCATTGGTCTCTGTGACAATTCCTCACTGAACACTACAAGTTCCTTGATTTATGGACATCAGTCTTCTGAGCTTCATTAATGCTTCACTAGAAAAGAGCTCAATTCAATGTATCAATAAAATTAGTTATATGACCCTACATGGCTGAACACCAGACCCCAGGTCAAGCGAAGTTCATTACCAATGTATGGACTTCTTGGGAGACAGGCTGGCAGCTTGGTCTTCTGGAACTACCAGTTGATGGCCATTCCATATTATGTATGCAATCACAGAATTAGGGGACTATCCTGAGGCCGTTCATAATATTTCTAAAATTCCAGTGATAGGAAATGAGAGTATTACTTGTTTGAACGACCCTGAGGAAAAGATGGGACTATCTAGTGATAAGTCTGATAGTATAGTGGTTACGAATCAGGCTGCTAACCTCAAGGTCAGCAGTTCGACACAGCTGTCGCGGCTAAGATGAGGCTTTCTGCTCCCATAAAAGATTTACAGCCTTGGAAACTCTATTCAGGGTCGCTGAGTCAGAACTGACTTCATAACACACCACCACCACTGTCTAGTGATTAAATAACACCTCTCCACTTGGATGTAATCTTTCTTTTCTTTCATGTGCCTTATATTTGTCTTATCTGAACTAGATTTTAAGCATTTTAAAAGTAGAGAACTTCACCTTAATTATTTCATCATTATCACAGCCACTAACATGACTTGCCCATAATATTCAAATATGTGAAAG